TGGCTAGTAACTAATATGTATATACTTAAATAGTGTAAGCTTGAGTATGGATAAGATATTAGAAAAACAGTATCACTTAGAGGAAATAAATAAGAAGGTATGAATAATAAAGTGAATAATAGAATATAATGTTGATCTTTTCATATTGGAAATGGACTCAGCAACGTAGATAATAACAAAGATGAGAATAGTAAAGTTCAACAAATGTAATAATATAAACACATATGTGTGTTTTGTACACATTATAATTGGATGATGAACAGGTGTGACATACACAACTTTATTTAAATGATAATTATGCTTATATAAGTAGTTTCAATAGTAGTATATGCATGTCTATACATATTGCTTAGGAGAGATACCACTTATATTAATACATTTGCTTTAACATCCTCATTAAAAGGAATTGGTCACATTGAAATAATAAAGAAACAATTTAGGGTATTCTTTATTATTATTATCATCATGCACAGCTATAATCATTAAACTTATAAAGGGTCAACTTGCCAGAATACATTAGCAAAAGAAGATGAATACCATATTAGTAATAGTATTGTTAGTGATAATAACAAAATGATTCGTGTAGATAGAACGAAGTGTATATTGATCTAGAAAACAATGAGTGAATGAACATGCTTCATCGTTACTGATTATAAGCCGGATCACTTAACAATGTATCTGTGATCCTTTTATAGGACTGAAAACATCTTGATGATTAACATACAGATAGAATGAAAGAAGGATAATGGTGGTCATATTAAATTATGGCATTCATCCAAGAATTCATCCACTGTCAATTTGAGTCATAGAGAAGCTCTGGAAGAGGTGGAAACTTTCATCAATCTGAGCAGCATCATCAGTTGAAGAATATATTGAACTTAAAACAACTGTCTGTTAAACAACATAAAAGTCAGAATATTCAGTATGAACGTCAAGATAACTCTTTGTACAGGGAGATGAAACGTGGACAAATACCATAACCATCAACAAAAATGTACAATTATTTATAAACAGTTGTCTACTCAAGATACTCAATGTCCGTTAACCAGATATCATCAGCAAGAGAACAAACCAGCTTTCATCTGAAGAGGAAATTAGGAAGAGAAGATTAAGGTGGGTAAAACACACATTGATGAAATCATCAGACTGGATCACGAGGCAAGCGCTAACTTGTATTCCTGAAAGGAAACGAAAAAGAGGAGGACCAAAAAACACGATACGTCGAGAATCGGAAGAAGAAATGAAACGGATGAATAGCAACTGGAAAGGATTTTCCAGGACAGAGTTAGATGAAGAATGCTGATAGATGACCTATGCTCCTCGACGAGTTGTAACAAGCGTAAATAAGTAATTAAGTAATTTGGGTCATATGAGAAAATAAAAATATTTCTAGTCAATCTCCATGAATTAGTTATATAACTTATGAACGTACATAATCTGTACAAATTTGTATATTTATCTTTAAGATATGCCTTTTTTCATAAGGATTATTCAGTCAATTAATGGGTTAGTTACTCACAAAAAATAATACACGGTTTTGTACCGTTAATTATCAACCAAAGTTGTAAACTCTTCATATAAGTAAATTAAGAAAAAAATTAACAAAGCTAATAATCTACTTAAATCAGACAAACGAGTAATAAGGTCATGGTGTTAGTATAATAAAAGAAATAGTACTTTAGAATAAGCCAGTAAAAGATTTATACATCTGTGTGTTATTAAAATTAATTTCATACAGTTCATGATCATGTGAAGATCTGGAAGAACCATCAGTATTAACATAAACATTTCTACTTAATGACTTTATTACATTAACCAAATCATTAGTAATATAAATTGAGAGTGGATGACAGTTATTTTTTCAGCCCTTCAAAATGTAAATTATGTCTTAACTATTCAAAAGAATGTGGAATAATTAATTTTAATGATTATTATTGTATAAAAACAATGAAGATTGTTGATGACGAATGTGTTAAAACAATGTGACTAACTATTATAAATAACGTGGCTTACTATCGAAAATTCAGTGATTAGTTATTAAGATAAACTATAAATGGATAACGAGATGGCGTCTGAAGAGAACGGTACCGGTTTTGAGTGCCAGAGTGAACATCAACTCTGGCATGCAGGTACATCTAGCTGACGAGTCCCAAATAAGACGAAACGCGCGTCCTGGATTTCTTTGCTAGCCACCAACCATCTCTGCTCATAATACATTTGAATGAAGGCAATATCGAGGCAATCCGCACAGGGTGCATATATGCAAATATGAGACTGATCATGACCCCCAAATGCCTTGGTACGGACGAGCGTGGAAAGAGTTCTCTATCCCTTTCAAAATGTTATACATGGTCATACGTATACAGCCACTCTCAGGGAGGTCCTACTCACTGCCTTCTCACGGAGGGGATATTCTTTACAAAGTGAGAGGACGAAAAGCGAATATCAGGCGCTTTAACAGGATTGCGGGATACGGAGGATACACCTAAATGAGTTTGAAAACCCAAATTCTGAACCAATGGTGCACATGGCTTCAGGAATTTATGTATGAACCTATTGTTGATCACCGGCTACTATGTGACTGCATCACCTAATGTTGCTCCATTACCTTGTGGATTAGACCCGAGGGTCGACGGCTTGGAGAGTGTCCTGTTAAGAAAACCACCTGCTTCGGTCTGGACGCACTCACACATATGGCGCATGTATTTGGTGCCTTCTTGTACCAATGTTTATGTGTTTAAATAAGTAAAATATATATTGAAATAATTAAATGGGGTATTAATTAGACTACTAGTAAAATATTAGTAGAAAGAAATTCGTAGTATCTTTACAAACATAGATGATTAGTTAGGATTTCTTGGAATTCGAGTTTCAGTGTGAACATCAATACTGAGATATAACACATAAATTCGAAAGACGAGTTCTAAAATAAAATGAAACACTGTTTGTCACGGTCTAACTTTACCAAATAAAAGCACAATTAAATTTTCCTAATTGTATTTCTTGCTTAAAAGACCTGTAATTGTGTACATGACAACGGTAAAGTCTAAATATACATATTTAGAGTAATCTAATCAAGCCAAATTGTTCAATTTTTAATGACTGAATGAAAATTATACAACATTATTAAATTCCATTACAGTTTCTGTTATATGCAAGTACAAATGTAAACTGGTGTACTTAGATTTCAGTCATAATGAAACATATTCCCTTAAACCAAAATAAATAAGTTTCAAAATAAATAAACATATACAAAAACGTAAAAACGGTAGAACAGAACAAATGGCGCTGGGAATCGAAGTCAGATATCAAAAGAATGAATAGGACTTGGCAACAAATGTGAAAGACAGCCCAGGAAAAAGTTGTTTGTAGATTCCTCGTTAGTGGTCTATGGTGCTTACTTAGATGTAAAATAGTAATGTGCAAAACGTGTACTCTATATAGCCACTGATTTAACTGTTTTAAAAGTTCAGTCAGTCATCTATAACGCAGGATCAGGCACATATATGTATCAGTACAAGTTACCATACCTCATTAATACAACATAAACAACAAATTCATAGAACCAGTTAATTCAGTGGTAGTGATATTTTAAAAGAAAGATTGGAAATAAGAATATGATACAAGCGAAAAGAATTAGTTCGTAGAAAGAAAGATATGCAGTGGTTTTATTCTCACGGTTTGAGGGAAGATAGAGAGTGTATACACCTACGCCATATGACCAACCATTGGTTACGATAGTCACACGAACCCCAAGTAGTCTACATCTATCAACATGGCTAAGATTAGAAGTTAGTGACTTCGAGGATTGATGCCACGTTTTGGTTTGACTCTCGTGCAATAACTAACGCTATATAAAACTGAGATAATTACAATTAGTAAAAATCATCAGTCCTTATCGAATTCGACTGAACAAAGTTGAATAAATTTCTGATGAGCATTTACTTAATTATCAGTGAAATATTCCCTCATTTTCGGTTTTTGATAAAAATTACGATTATAATTAATTTAATTGATTTTTGTGATTATACTAGATCACGGGTGATGTATACTACTTATGTCTGTCGATATAAATAGTATGTAACACAAATTGGAGGTGGAATGTTTGTCAAAAGAAGTTTGAGAAGATTGAACTGAAGAAAAGAGAAAGAAATTGAAAGAGTCATGAAGGATGTCGAAGACAAATGATGGAAGATGTGTAAATGAATTATTTAATGTATAGTTTTCACATTTTACGAAAATTTTGTCTCCACCTGAGTTTTTGTTCACCACATACATACTGTTGATTAGTTTTCTTTGAATAAAACACTAATTATACGATAGACAGTTACACTGTAGTATTGCATTGACTAATATCTAATTAAATATACTATATACATATATTTTACAACAAGAATTTTCAACTGATTAGTCATTTTGTATAGTATTACATAAAACAATTTCGATTTGAGTATCTCTCAAGAAATTAGTAAACAAGTAACACTAAATGTTTTCTTTTAAACAGTCAACAATAAGTGATGTAAATCAGTATCGGTAGTTAAAATTGAATATCAGTTCAATTATCAATTCTAAATGATTAATTACCAATGGACTTAGGTAAATAATTAACATTTAAACTATGGAAATCTCTATTTTCCTAAGTACTCATAACATGAATAAACTGATTATGTTTTCTTTTATAATTTTTCCATGAAATAAAATTAATTAGCTGGTTATAGTTGAGAGTGATTTGAATGAATAATGAATAATCATAGTGATAAATCATTTACTCAGGGCACACAACATTTTGAGAAAGAGAGAGAGAGGAGGAGGAGGAGGAGGAAAGCGAGCATAAAGCCTTAAACAGTAATATGACTTAATGTGTATTGGTCATTTTCAACTTAGATAGTCCTATTTTTTTAAAATCAACCTAATTATTAAAACTGACTGACTAGTTGAATAAACTTCACTGATTCAACACAACGAATAACAAGTAGAATATACAAATTTTTTTTACTTACCTGCCGAGGTTTACTATTATTACTATTATTATTGTTATTACTTGAATTCATTATTGTACTCGTGCGTAGATGTTACTTTTCAGATGTTAGAATAAATTAAATCCACAGTTTATGTATGATACTCAATATTATTTTGTTTTAATATTTAAAAGACGATGGTATATAGTGAGAATACTGAACACCACAAAAATATATCTATTAATCCGAAATCAATAATGTATCTTTACACGTTTAAATATAGTCAGTTTTTAAAAAGAAATCCATTAATATTGATTTGTGTATCAATTTCATATTCCACAATACGTTGAATGGATCAATTCAAGTTGATCTCTTCATAAGGAGATACAATAATAATCCAATGAATTCGAAAAGTTCCAATGAATAAGATTTGATATTGTATTTCCTGTAGAACAATTAATCGATCAATGAAATGGGAAATATATATATCTATCTATCTATTTATGTATGTCTGTAGTTATTTGTGCGTTGAAATTCGAATAATGTGCGTCACAACTAATGATTATCAATCAATTTTGGGCAATCGATCAATAATGGTATTGTTTTAATGGATAATGTTGAAACAGGATATTCTCTTTTGTTGTTGTTGTTTTCTATGGCGATTATTATTATTTCGACGATTTTTTAAATTATTATTATAATTTGATAGATAAATCTGTCAACTTGAAGGCCATATAAAATTGCTCATATCATCACTAGACTTCTTAGAAATAATTTTTTCACCCACGAGAGTAAGTCACGCAGTATTCTTGACGAGATAAATTAGGCTAGTTTATCTGGTAATGCCGTCAAACTGTCAAAAATTTTGTCAGAAATTTATCGCATTGAATACTAGTGAATTGAATATCTGTGCTTGTGTAATGACCTGTCAAACTGTCTAAATTAATAAAAAAAAAGGGGGTGGATATAAAATTTATTTAGGGGTAGAGAATGAAAAAATAAATAAATTTCAAGGCCTTCTATATGATGATTATGTGGTTAAAAGGTAGACAGATATAAAACAAGCATTCTATATACAATCCTTTTTAGATTCGATATTTCCGGTTGGCCTAACATACTTCTAACGGCCGTTCGACCAATCAAAATTTAGAGACCTCACATACCTATACTATGATTGGTTATTAAAGCGGACTAATAAACATCAAATAACATTCTTTTTGATAGTTTGTAATCTAATTGACTAAAACTTATTGGTTAATTGAATTATAGTTTATGGAGGTGGGACAGTCAACATTTAAACCAATCATCGATGAAACATATGTAAATGAAGCCCTGATTATTTTTCTGTGATATGATTGATCATTCTTAATCTTATTAGATAATGATAAATTAAGGATGTCAGATATTGGCCTATTTTTTAGTTTTTACAATCTGTTCATAATGGTTATAATGATTATTGAAAATTTTCATGGATAACCTGTAAACACTGGACGGCCGATTCGTCTTATTATGGGACTCCTCAGCAGTGCGCATCCAAGATACCGCCCCCCCGCGAGATTTGAACCCAGGACGTATCAGTCTCGAGCCAGGCGCTTAACCAGCTAGACCACTGAGTCGGCATCCTTATGTTATGAATTAAGAATATGGAATTTTTACAATATTGTAAAATATTGATATACACAGAAAACGTTATGATTATCAATAGTGATGTCTATACAGTAATCCATATAAAGACTTATCAAACAATTGATGAATGATAGGAGTATATGTGCACTCCATGGCACTTCAGTTTAACTTGGTACCATTGAGGCATCAACATCTTAAATGTACAGAGTTAAAACTCACTTCTGTTGTATATTTAAAATGTGCTAGCCTTATAAAATGTATTATTTATTCGTAATTTTGCAAATAGGAGAATTTATTATTTGTTGTCTTATCGAAAGCCTAAGTTATAGAAAACGAGAAGCTTTATCCTCACCAACTTTATATGGTCAAATAACTTTTAGTAATGAATAGCTGAAATGAAATAATACAAATGTTAGGGGGAACTTACACGAAGGGAGCATGAGTCGTATTGAAAAATGCAAAATTATAACATATATCTTTAGACTATTCACTGGGATGCTTTGAAAAAAATCTATTCCGTTTGAAAAGAAACCGACACATATTCCAAACATACTTTTTCATTATCACTTAAAGCGTTCGCAAGTACCTGTATTCAGTTAGCATCATCGCGAAACTGATCTATGTTATCTGTACACTCTGGGTCCATAACTGTTTTTTCAGGTATATGATCAAACCCCTAAATGTCAAACTACAAAATTCTTATCTTTAAAAGTAGGTATCGAGCAAAAATTTAACCAACGATAGAAAGAATGAGCAACCATAGTGGGTACCAATGAAAGTAGTCATTTATGGAAAAAGCTGCAAATAGATTGGTTTGCTTTGTTTGTACATCATCCAATTGTTGACACTACTGTAATCGTTAGTAATGAATGTTAAACACTCGATAATATTAATACGTATTGGTATAGTACAAAGTGAATAGTTTATTCCATTGATAAATAATCAATGTAATCAATAGTCATCGGCGTATATTTATAATATGGTTCTTCACTAATGTATATAACCCATCCAAAGTATATACCAACAACTACATCAATAATGATACTGACGTTATGCTTAAAAATAATCCTTTATATAAGACTCTGAAGATTTTTGAATATTACAAACTGATATTAATTAATCAACTATTAAAAAAACAGGAAGCACTGGACAGTCGTTTCTTCTTGATATAAAACTTCTCTGAAAGAGATCGAATTCAGTACCTTCAGGTCTTACAGACAGAATCTTCATTTCAGACCATTGATCCTGTATCTTGTAATTTACCTGTTTACTTTCAATTAATTAGCAAGTATTTAGAGAACTTATCGTCTAATCATATTTGCAGGAAACTGTCTCACATCTAACATATTCTAATCTCACTGGAACATTTTTTTGATATACCTCTCATGCTAAGACCAATAAGCGCTTTAAATTAAAAAATGAATTTATTTATTTATTTGTGTTGTTTGTCCATCTGTCAAGGTCAGTCGAATTCACTGTATTTAGCAACTAAGTATAACTTATTATTTGTATATCAGAAAGTGCTTTTTAAATCGACCATATCTCTCATAAAACCATATGTGTTTATTATTATTATTATTATTTGTAAGATGGAAACATGTTAAGGACAAATGTTAATATTATATCTGTATATTAATCGGGTTAGCCAAAACTGAACGTTAACATGTCAAGTTATAACATGTTTTTTTTTCTTCCAACTATATCTAGATATCTACATTCAAAATATGACTGATTCTATAATAGATGAATGAATATAATCTATTCTATTTAATAAGATAATTTCAATAGCATAGATATGAATAAACATTAAACTACTCTCTACTGTATTTTTTTAAAGAAAAATGAGTCATCATTAATAATTATCCTACGAAAAGTCCAAATCATGTTGTCATTACCATTTACCCATATGATACGAGTGGGTTAGTAACAAACAAAAACAAAAGAAAAAGATCAATAATGTCTCTATTATTATCAATATTAAAATTATTACTGAGATTTATTATAAAACAATAAAAAAAGTTCAAGTTTTATGATCAGTCTATTTTAATTGATTGGTTGAATGGATATTGTAATAGCTCAATTGAAATATTGATATCCACTTTATCCAATTAACTGTCATATTCATTAGTTAATTAGTGGTAATTAAATGTTCACATCATGATGTTATTAGCCAATAGTAGATGTTTAGTAACCATAAGAGCATTAGTGTATTCTTTCTTGATGTTTTTTTATTCAAAAAAAAACAAACAACGATGCAGATATTATCATGAGATTTTCAGTTTCAGTTTGGAAAGGACAGAAGGCTTGATAGCCTGTGTTAGTTCTGGCAATGGTGGTTCCTCAGTTGATCCAACTTTCTTTTGAAAGAGTCGATGGATGAAGCCTCAATCACGTGCTGAGGTAATGAATCCCACTCGTTGATGATTCGATGGGAAAGTCGATAGTCAGCTGACAAGTAATTTGTTCTGGGCTTGTGAACTTTTTTGGAGTGTCCCCGTAAATTCTCTGTTTTGGAAGACAAGGAAAATGAAGGCATATCAAATGCAAATTTATCACTAAGCAATTTGAAAACTGTAATCGAGTCGCCTCTAGTTCTGCGATATGACAACGGGAAAATGTTTAGCTTGGTCAGGCGAGCATCATACGGAAGCTTCGCAATTCCGCGAATCAGTTTAGTTGCTGTCCTCTGAACCTTTTCCAGAAACTCACTGTCTTTTTTTAAGCAGAGGCTAGCCGCTTGTATGCAGTACTCAAGCCTAGGGCGTAGGAACACTGTATACAAAGTCAAAAACGTTTTAGCGTCGACATGACTAAAAGCCCTACGTATTGACCATAAGGTTCTAAAACCTTTGGCGGATATTGCACGGTAGTGTGTAGTAGTCTTTAGGTCTTGGCTAACGATAACTCCTAGGTCATTATGTGTCTGGACGACAGGTAGCTCAGTGTTATTCATCATGTATTTTACAGGTTCCCCTAATGATTTAGTCTTGTTATGTTGTGGATTAACTACTGTGAAGATGCTTCATACTTGATTGCAATAACTAATCATAATTCCCTTTAGTTTTTAATATTTATATTATTTAATGATAAGTTTTTTTCATTTAAACGTCTAGGTATCGTTTTTTTCCATATCTTCTTATTCCCCAGGAGTAGTTTTGAATCTTCGGATGTCGAACAGAGAACAAACGAACAAAAGTTAATTAACGAACAGTTCAGTGATATCATGAATCAATCAATATTAGACAACTACTGAAAATTTAGAAACACTGGACAGTCGGTTCGTTATAATATGGGTCTCCTCAGTAGTATATATCTATGACTCTACCACAGGAAATCAAATCCAACACCTTGCGTGTGAACTTCTAACATCCAGACTATGATCCGGCAATCAACAGTGTTAATGTCTAACGTCAATGATATTGAGCGACTATCTTCCATTGTTTTTGACGGGTATCTGCCTGATACCCGATACTGTTAAATCCTACTGGTCACAAGGTCTCACTAGTACTCTGAGAATTATCTTCTGAAGCTAGTTACTAATGAGAATACTAAGACGAAACGACCATCCGGTGCTTCCAGTTTTTTATGGTTAACTTAAATCGATTTATAATTTCAAAGAAAAATTACAAATCTCCACAACTTAATACTGATAATGTCTAGAATATCACAGTCACAATAGGTTTGTATATGACCTTGGAGTTTTATAAGATATAAGCAGAGATGGATGGTGTCTAACAATTGAGTACAGAACATACACTCAGTCCTATTTCGGACTCGTCAACTGCATATACCTGCATCTCAAAGTTGATGTTCAGTATGGGATCACAATCTAGTACCATTGGCATAAAACGCCATCGTGACATCCGTCTCGGAAAATAATGATTTTTTGCATTATTAACCCAATTTGGTTATCCTCTGAAGAAGTGGCTTACACTAAGTCACAAAATGTCAGAAAATCTAATTTTTCTACTCACTGGGATATTACAAATATATTATTTATTTATAACAGTCTACCCAATGCTCAATTTATTCGAACTTATCAAATCAAACCTTGGTAATGATACCTATAGACGATATGAACTTTGCAGATGATTCGGTCCTTCTATCCCATACACATCAAGAAATGCAGGTCAAGACAAACAGAGTAGCAGAATTCTCTGCATTAGTAGGCCTGAGTACACACAACGGAAAAAGCGAGACAATCAAATACAAGACGGAGAACACCACCCAACCCAACTGCGCTTGATGGAGAAATTCTGGAAGATGTGGAAACTTCCACGTATCTGGACAACATCATCGATGGAGAAGGAGGATCTAGTGCACACCTTAAGGAGAAGATTGGCAAAGTAACATCTTCATTTATACAATTGAAGAACGTATGGAACTCAAAACA